TAATAATTTTATTTGATTTTAAGTTGAAAACCGATCAGGTTATAAATCTGCAGTAATGTTAGCAGTACATTGAGTTCATATTGACATAGTTAGAATTTTTTTTCACATGACGCGAATTCAGAACAATGTACTACTGATGGTGATCCAATACTTCATTATGCTTGTTTGGGTAATCAACCAAATTGTGTTTCACTTTTATTATCAAAAGGAGCTGATAATAATTTAATTCATTCAACAGCTTGTTTATGTTTACAGATTGCTATTAATAAACAATTATTAGAATGCACGAAAAGATTATTAGAACATCAACAATCACTAATGAATGTTCATTTAAAAGATACTTACAGAGATACTGCATTACGTGATATTGGTTTGATTTTGTTTAGCCCTTTTCTCTCGCATAGAAATTTAAACCTTCCTTCCTCAAAAGAAGGTAGAACAACAAGAGCATTTTTCTCCTAAAAAAACTTTTGAAACAAACTACCTGGCGATAATAACGGTGTGGGGTGTGAGTGTGAGAGGTTGGGTATGGATGTGAGTGTAGGTGTTTTAGAGAAAAGATATCTCACACCAACACCCACAGCCTCGACGCTTTGATTATTTGTGAAAACAGGAACATTGAAAGTTGTCAAAACGTGACTATGTTGTCCATCGTTTCTTGTTTAATATCAGCTTCTCTATCTGTTGATATTTCTTTAAGATCTTAAACGAAAATACAATAAGATTAAAAAGAACTTGACCGAAATATTTGTAAAAGTTTAGCTTTTCAAGAAAATTGGTTTCCACATCATACAATGACCACTGTTAGCGTCAACAGATATTACATAGTTGCCGCTAACCTTTCTCCTTTCTTTTCGTTCTCCTTTATGTAACCTATGTGAGGTTCGATATTTCTTGGATATATACATATATGTTCATATTATTATTATTATTATTTTTCCTTTTTTTTCTTTTTTCTCTTTGTCTCTCTCTCGTTCTTTTTATGAACAAGTCTCCCCAGCAGTCAGTGGTGTCTTTTGTATTATCTGGGTAACACGTTTTCTTTGAATAAAATACTTATTCTTCATCTGAACCTATATTACCCTTACCATTACATCAACCTACAAGACCAGGTAGGACTACTAACTCTATTAACCCAGCTATTACAGATCATAGTTTTCTATTGATTCCTTCCGACCTATTAACATTTAGTGGGTAGGAGATTTGGATGAAAGAGAAAGCTAACAACCACTAAATATTCAATCAAAATAAAGTGATTTGAGAGTCAAGGACTTTTCCTATGACACTTATCAATTCTTAGATTTTACATCTCTATTCGTACTTTGAACATGATATTTCATTGGGCAAAACCTTTGCTAAGGATGTGAATGTGAGTCTAGACGAAGAGAATACCTGCACCTCTCTTTGTCATGATGATGTTGTTTTTTTTATGAAAATACAAAAAAGAAGAGACTTATAGAGAAATACGTGATTTCCGTTGTGTGTATGTCCCTTTGTAAGATCATTGGATGTTGAGATCAATTGATTACACTAAGTTTATGTATTGATTTTTTTCGTCTTGTTAAACATTGTCGATATATAACTAACTTTTAGTTGTAAAAAGATACTGTAAATTGAATAAAACAACTTTTATTTCTTTTATATAACTGAATATTCATAGAATCATTGATTTGTGCCAAAACAAGGTAAACATGAACAAAATCGTTGCCATATACTATAATAAAAGTTTTCTGAAAGCATTCCAGAAACAATTGAAAAGAAAGCTAGTTTGATTACCTGAATGAATCAGATGAATGCGTACGTACCGATAGAATTTGAGAACATAATTGCTAGAGAAAAAAGAATTTTAAAACTGATGAAATTAATTATCGCTTTTCTACTTCATGAGGATCTAATGCATTCCAAGTAAATTGTCGATGACAATATCTGCATTCAATGAGAAGAGTTGGTCTATTCAAAAAACGGAAGAAAATTAAATTAATATAAATATATGAAAAAATAAGCAAGCAGTTCATATACTGAGAATTGATTGGAGGAATTTTTTGTCGATATGATTCCTTCAACATAAAATACAAAACTACTGAAACAAATGTTTGCTTACATACCTCACAATTTCTTCTTTGAGATCGTGGATTACGACGTTGAGGTGATGGTTCAGATTTCCTGAAGTGAATAGATTTGTGTTAGATTGGATTCATTATTCTGAAAAAAAAGAATAATTATTCCCATACTTTTCATTTGAAATGGCAGAAGTAGGGCCTACTTGACGAGTTCTCTTGAAAAGAAAATATAATGAAATGTAATTATGAGTTTTAACTATACTCTCTCATTTACAATTGGATTGCTTACAGGTTGTTTTTGATTATCTTTCTGATGAACCACATCAATATCTCTATGAAAAAAAGCATGCTATAATATGTATTATCAATCAGATATCATAGTATCGATAATGAATATCAACCATGGTTTTACAAAAGGTATACATAATAGCTAAAACTTCATGAATATTGTTCGTTTGATAAATATGTAGGATTTTGTTATGAAATATTCATAGTAATGTAAATTTCAATTGTACTCAGAACAATATCCATTATTAATAATAGACCTAATCAATATTCATATTACTTACTCGAGATGAATTTCTAAAAATTTTGACTGAATCTTTTTCATAGTGTCTCG